CCATAAGTTTGCTGTAGGAGTGTTCATGTCCATCTCCATGAATTAGAAAATTCAATATATGCTTTCACTGCAAGCCCGCATTCCACATCAACTCCGCTTGATATTCCCCATGTCAAACAGCCCTAAAGCTTACTTCAGGTGTCTGCTGGTAACTGAGCCAAAGAAAGGCCTTACTGTCCTACCACCATTTTGGTAAAACCAAACAGCAGAACACCATCTGCTTCTCACCCCTGCTCTGAACCGAGTCATCCATCAATAATGCTTCTTGACCTCAGTATTCAAGTGTCTGCCCCAGTGCACAGAGCAGATTCACTACCAAAAGTGACAAATGAGTGAACTGGAGAAAAGCAGCCACGTGCAAGCGTAACTTCCTTCTTTTAGAAGGAAAAAAAAAGGAGAGAAATCCACACTGTCACTTCCCCATCTGTCTTACCCTCCTCTGCAGAGATCTGCTTTTCAGAGCAGACCCTCTGTTAACTTGCGTGCCTTTCAAAAGCTCTGTCAGAGAGCATGAACTCTGTTTACAGCTAACTCTGCAAAAGACCTTGCCCTGCATCTTGAGGGATTGTTTTCTGCTGTATGTTTGCCTCTTACCTGATGTCAAAAAAATTAAAAGCTGTCAGTACTGCTTATGTTCAGCTTTGGCCATCTTCTTACTTGAAAGCTAGCAAGGGTTAACCGATAATAAGCTGGAAAAAGCTGACAGCAGACAGGTAACAGCACAAGCAATTTTTTTTGCAATTAGACTTGAGGGGAACAGAAAGACTTTCATAGAAAGATCTGCCCAATACAGAAATGCTCCAGCAACATGAATCTACAACTCAATGGTTTCACATCTGCTGCAGAACCACTGTGAAAGCCAAGTCCTTAGTCCGAAATGTCCATTTCATTTCAGAGGTAAGATGCTGCTCTGAAGTCAAGGTTTGCCAGCTCCTCAGAAAGCTCTCACCTACAAGTTAAGACAAAGTCCCTTTTGGAGACATTAAAAGCTCTGCAGCCCTCTGCATAAGGTTCAGAAATCTTGAGACTTGTCTACTTAGAAGGCCTCAGATCCCAAGAAGAAGGCACAGAAAACAGCACAGAATGAGTTCCTTCATATCAACATGACCTACTCCAGCAGCACTGGCCACTGCTCTCAAACAGCAACCAAAGGTTTATAAGACTTCCAAGTCAGACTAAGGGTATAAGCTGCAAGATTATTTCCATGTTTGAATCAACAACCAAGAAGAGATAGGCAGGCAGCCTTCCTGTCCTCCAGGTGCCTCTGACTCAGGATAAAGCCGTGTTCTTACTCAGCGGCTCCACGCAAGCATGGAAAGCATGCTGTAAAGAATGCAAAGCAGTGATGGCAGAGGTTCAGCCACTTCAGGCATCTGTACATCTGTGGCAGCGGAAGCTGAAGCATTGCTTTATGGCCAGACAACTTCCCTCACTCCTGCTCCTTCTACCTTTAGAGGGTTCTAGCCTTAGGTACCTTTACCTTGCAGCAGAACTCTGGATGTGTTTGCTAAGAGCAGGTAAGAAGAGCCTATAAGAAGCAAGTTATCCAGGCCATGGTGATAGGTCAGTCATGGCCACATCCCTCTGCCACAGTATGGGCCTGGTCATGGACAGTGGACCTCACAGAAGTTTCCTGACTTGGAGCCACTCTGACTTCTGCAGCACCAGTCTCCACCAGACTCTCCAGAAAGGTCAAGAGAGCAGACAAGCACAGCTACCATTCCAAAATCAATAAAGAACAGCTGCAAAGCCCTAAGCCTGAGTCAGATTTTAACATTAACCTCCCCCCCGTTACCCAACTATTGGAGCCATCCACAAATCATTAGCTGATTAGAGTCAGCCTTTGGAGAGATTAATGACCCACCACCACAGGCTGAGACTAAGAGCAAGACCAATCACTAAACTGGCTGTTTTGCCTACTGACCCCATTCACCACACTTGCTCTCTAGACTACTCAACACATACTGTCAGCAGCTGAAGTTCACCATTGCCTTAAAGTCACCATCACCTGTGTGTTCACAACCTTTCCTTGAGGTTGGAAAGAAGTCAACTTATGTTTTCCTTGCCAGTGCATCAGGTATTCAGCAGAAGGGACATCCCTCACACAGCAAAGCTGTTGGACTCCTTCCATCAGGAGGATGAGACTTTTGGCTTTTTCTGCTAATTCAGCAGAAGGAAAAAGAAGAATGCTGTTCTCTTCCTACTGGAAATCCTCGTATTCTGCAAGGCTCGCTACCCTACTGCCATTTCCAGGTCACCCACAGAACTACTCTTGGCTCTAAAAATCGTCCACCTCAGCCCCTTTGTGGGCTGCCAAGTGCCCACAACAGGACAGTCCTACATACAGGCCCTAGCAGATGGACTTCACCTCTGTGCTGCTGAAAAAACAGGGCAAGAGCCTCCCTACTGACAAGAAGTCAGGTGACTGCAGCCTGAGGCCAGAGAGGTGTTTCTGCTCCTGGGTTATTAGGGATGCTCACACACTTCCCAGGCAACTCCAGGCACTAAAGTGGAGACAAGCTGCTTGTGCTATAAAAGCAAAAAAAGCTCCTAAATGCAACTGAGAAGAAGTTAGAGGGCATGAGCTACCTATCCCTCAGAGCAGTTTCTCACCAGCTGCACAGCAGTGTGGATGGACCCTGCTCACAGGGGAAATGCAGCACCACCACTGCACTCCTGTGCTGCAAGAAGACCTGTGAGGGCAGATGCCAACTCCTACTGCTACAGGCTGGTAAAGCAGCAACCTGGGTACATCAATAAATCCAATGTATCGCAGACAAAAACCTCCACAACTCCTGCTCCCACATTACTCACATACCTCTTCCCACTGAGGGCCATGTACTCTCTGACAAGAGCACAAGAAGATGGAGGTGTATGTTCCCAGGAGAAAGGCAAGCCTGACTTCCCACTGGAGCAAGAGTGGGCTGACGTTCAGGGAGAGGGCTCCTTACCTGGGCAGGAAGAGGTGCTGAATCTGTCCAGCACAGAGACAGGGCAACAGAAGGTGACACACAAAAGAGACGAGACTACCATGACTTGTTCCCCCAGAGAGTGGGTACTGGGCCAGGTGCTGCTGACAGCTCCAAGGCTTTGGAGATCACCAGATCCATCCTGCTCAGCAGCAGTTAAATGCTCACCAGGACAACAACCATAGGAAGCACCTCTTGCCATCGCAGCTCTGTCATGCCTCATATGCACACCAGCCAGCCCAGAACAGCTTAGTGTGAAGCCTCAAACTCATCTCAGCCCTTGCAACCCTTGCTCCCAAGAAATTCTGCCTCACCCTATCTCAGGAAGCCTGCCCACAGAGATACCACATCCTCGCAAGAGCAGTTAACGTGCCAGCGGTGCTGTGCTGGCATTGCCGCTTCCACGTCCAGGAATTATCGCTCCCAAGGCCCACGCACAGGGCAGGCAATTCACCAAGCCGTTAGCA